ATGGTAAGATGCTATCAGTTGTGACACATGCTGACATGTTAAAATATGTATCTTAAAAATCAATGTAGTACCATAGTTGGTGCTATATAAATGAATAAAATTCTAGACCAGGCAAGCTGATTATTCAGAGACAAGATTGAATAGAAAGAAAAAAATACTATTTGCATTTGTGGATGGTTATCTAAATAGCAACAAAATTCTAAGCAAACTATAATATTAATGAATGTTCACATCACTTCTTGACTATTCTAGGAAGTTACTAAAGCATATTTCCTTTATTTTCTTAATGAGGTTTAGCGCTGCTTTCATTATAGATTCTCTAGGACCATTAAAAATCTAATTAAGGCATGATGGCTGTTACAGACTGTTTGTGCCCCCACCACCTACCAAATTCATATGTTGAAGCTCTAACCCCCAAATGTGACTGTATTTGGAAAGAGCATCTGTGAGGAGGTGATAGAGGTTAAATGAGGTCATAAGGTGGGCCCTAATATAATGGGGCTGGTGTCCTTAGGCAGAAAAGGAAGAGACACCGGAGCGCGTGCTCTCTCTCTCTCTCTCTCTGCCATGTGAGGACATGGTAAGAAGGAGGCTGTTTAAAGCCAGGAAAAAAGCTGGCTGGTTGGCCAGCACCTTGATCTTGGATTTCTGGCTTCCAGAACTCTGAGAAATAAATGTCTGTTGTTGAAGCCACCCAGTCTGTGGTAGTTTGTTGTGGCAGCTGAGCAAACTGAGACAATGGCCAACAGGGAGGGTGGTCACTGAGAGAAGACTGAGGATGAATTCAGCCCAGCCACCCCTCTTCCCCCTCGTGGCTACTCATTACGTGTCCAGGACTGTTTGACCTGAAGTGCTTATTTGCAATTGGAGACTACAGAAAGGATCTCCCCATGAACTCTCCCCAGTCCTCATTTTTCTGCTTACTTGGTGCTAAAGTCCCATGCTACTTTACCGACATTGTAATTACTCTTTATTTTTTACTTATTTACTTTTTTACAATTGTACACAACTACCTATGGGAAATCAACACTCTTCTTGCAAACATTTAATTAGGTTTATAGTTTTAATTACTCCTTTCATATTTCTGTTTTCCTCTGTAGTGGATTGAAAACTTTCTCTCATGCTGGCGATTTGACTCTCTGGGTACTGGTTCCGCTTTTATGTATTTTACAAATGAAACTTTGCCTTAGTGTTTGTTCTCACCATTAATTGGATTTTGCTTCCACCCTTTAAGATAGTATGACAGGGAAGGGCCAGAAAAAATTCACCATGATATAGAGGTTACTTTATAGAAGGTCTATCTTTATGGATTAAAAATCTGAAATACAGAATTTTATAAAGAAGCTTTGTTATTAGAAGCACATACACCAAACAACAGAAACCAAGCAAAGCATTAACCTGTGGGAATCCTCGGGGAAACCTGTTTTAATGAGTAGATGAGACTTCTTGTAATTCACAGAACAATATATATGTAAACGGTATATCTGAAAATCATGAGGGTGCTCAAGGGTGCCTGAAAAGCTTGCCTTTCATTAATAATTTCTAAACATTGCCTCTGCAATCTTCTTTCTGTTTTTTTTTTTTTTTTTTTTTATCAGAGCAAAGGTAAGTCTTTCCATCTTGGTATAACCAGAGTTGGTGCATTAGTTATCCACTGCTGTGTAACAAATTAGCCCCGACCTTAGATGCTTGAAACAATCAAGTTGGCCCTTGAACAACATAGGTTTGAACTGTGCAGGTCCTCTATACTATGATTTTCTTCAATAAATATGTACTATAGTACCATACGACCTGTGGTTGGCTGAATCCATGGATGCATAACTACAGGTAAGGAGGGCCAACCATAAGTTATACTCAGGTTTTCGACTGGGTGTGTGGGGTCAGCGCTTCTAACTCCTGCATCGTTCACAGGTCAACTATATATTATTTACAGTCTGTTCACAGGTCAACTATATATTATTTTACAGTCTTTGAGCCGCAGGAATCTGGGAATGGCTTAGCTGCGTGGTCCAGACTCAGGGTTGTTAGACTGCAGTTGAACTGTTGGCTGGGATTGTAGTCTTTGAAGCCTTGACTAGGGCTGTAGGATCCACTTCCAAACTCACTCGTGGCAGCACACAGCATGATTTCCTCCAGACTGACTGATGAGCAAGCAAGGGACTGTACCACTGTCTTTTATAACCTGACTCTGGAAGTGATAAACCATCACTTGTGATGTATGCTAGTGGCACTGGCACACAGACCAGTGCTGGTGCGGTGTAGGAGGGAATATACCTAGAGGCTCACTTACAGCGTTGTTGGCAAGAGACTTCAGTTCCTTGCCACAAGGGCCCCTTTATAGGCCCACTTATCCCATGGTTTCCTTTGAGTGAGTGATCCAAAAGGCACAGAAAGGGTGACCACCTAATTTTGGAAGTGACATATCATCATTTCCTCTGCACGCTATTGGTCATAAAGACCAACCCTGGTACCATGTGGGAAGAGACTGCACAAACGTGTGGACAGTAGGAGGCAGGGAGCATTAGGGACCATCTTAGATGGTGGCTGCCACAGCTGACATGACCTTGAACAGAACGACAGACTCATGGAGTGGAAGCATTCCCTCAGGTCCAGCCATGAGAATGGGTCCACTTAGTGTTAAGCTAAGTTCTCTCTTGGTTTTACAATCTCCTGATAATTTTCCGATAAATTCTCTTTGGCTTAAGTGAGCTTAGATCACTTTCCATTGTTAAAAGACTCCTAACTGATAAAATGGACTCCAATATAAATTAAACGTAGACCATTTTCTGTTTGTTACAGGACTGTGGAAGTCAGTTTTATCATTGTTGGCGATGGGAGGTAGAAATATAGAATTGTGGACAGAGCAGTGAGAACCTGTGGTGCTAGGATGGAATTGGAGATGCCAGTGTGGACTTATGCTGTGGACTTATGCTGCACACACACACACACACACACACACACACACACACACACACACACACACACACACACACACACTTCCTAGGTCCATCTGCCCTTTCAGCCCCAAATCACTCCCAGGTAGCAGTGAATAAACCTTTGTGCCAAGGTCCTGGTTTCTAAATCTGAAGCCCCACCAAAAACAATCAGGACTCCTTGGAGAAAAATGATGAGGGCAGGGAAAATCTGGCACATCTTTTGAGCCAGAAAGGTAGTTAAGATCTCAAAGCGTAATGGGGATATGTCAAAATGACACAGCTGCCAGTATGAAGGGGCTCCTCCTGTCTAGATCTGAGATAATTTGAATATTAATATAGAATCAGTTTTGCAACCATCATATTAATAATTGGTTCTGGTGGGAGTCATCAATGGATGCTAAAAATAGTGGGTCAAAGTTTGAAGAGTGGGGTGTTTACATAGTTTGAATATATTTCCCCTTAAAATGCTAATTAATTACAAAGGGCAAAATAGTACCTTTAGAAATGGAGAAACCTGGCAGCCACCACCTTAAGCATATGATTAAAAGTAAGAGCACCAGGGCTTCCCTGGTGGCGCAGTGGTTGAGAGTCCGCCTGCCGATGCAGGGGACACGGGTTCGTGACCCGGTCCGGGAAGATCCCACATGTCGCGGAGCGGCTGGGCCCGTGAGCCGTGGCTGCTGAGCCTGCGCGTCCAGAGCCTGTGCTCCGCAACAGGAGAGGCCACAACAGTGAGAGGCCCGCATACCGCAAAAAATAAAAAAATAAAAAAATAAATAAATAAAGTAAGAGCACCAAAAGCTGGATAAATGACATTATGTGCCTCCTGAGATGATGCACTGAGAAGAACATAGTGTCACTTCTGGGGTAATCTGCTAAAAGTACATTGCCTGACTCTAATCAGGAGGAAACATCAGACAAATCCAAACTGAGGAACATTGTACAAAATAACTGACATGTATTCTTTAAAAATGTCAAGGTCAAGAAAGATGAAGGCTGAGGAGTAGTTTCTGATTAAAGAAGGCTAAAGAAATGTGAACTGAATATAATGGAGGCTTCTGCACTGGATCCTGAGCAGCGGGGGGAAATGGCTCTAAAGGACATTTTTGGGACAAGAGGAAAAATTTGACTGTAGATTGTCAGTTATATAATAGCATTGTATTAATGTTAAATGTCCTGAATTCGTTAATTATGTCAGAGAAAGTCTTTATTCTTGGGAAATACACAGTATTTAGGGGTGAAGGAGTGTCATGTCTGCAACTTACTCTCAAATGGCTCAGAAAAATATATGAAAGAGAGTGAATGAGAAAGCAAATGGGGTCACATGTTAACAATTAGGGAATCTAGGTAAAAGGTCTTATATCAGTTTGCTATTGTTGCTGTGACAGATTACCATAAATTTAGCGGCTTGTTTCTGTAGGTGAGAAGTCTGGCACAGTTTGGCTGGTTTCTCTGGGTTAAAATCAAGATATCCGCAGGAGAGCCTTCCTTTATGGGGACCCTGGGGAAGAATCTGCTTCCAAGCACATCCAGGTTTTTGGCAGAATTCAGTCCCTTGTGGTTGTAGGACTGAAGTCTCCATTTCCTTGACTCTTGGCCCCTCCATTTTCAAGCCAGCAGTGGTGTTTTGAGTCCTCCTCGTGGTTTAAATCTGAATTCGACTTCTGCTTCATCTCTCTGCTTTGAAGGGCTCATCACCTTAGCTCTACATGGATAATCCAGGATAATGTCCCTCTCTTAAATTTAACCAATTAGTAATCTTAATTACATCCGCAAAATCTCTTTTGCCATGTAAGTAACATAACACAGCCATTGGTGTGATACGAGGGGCTAAAGGTCCTGGAAGCCAAATTTCTGTATACCTCAGTTTTATAGGAGGTTTTTGCACTATTCTTGCCACCTTTATATAAGTTTAAATTTACATCAAAACAAACAAACAAAAAGGATTCATAAACGTAGTGTACATGGAATTGGGAAATGTAGTCATGGCATCATTCACATCCTTGGTACTTTCATTTCTTCCTAACAGCACTGGGTCTGTTTTGCTCCCCTGTTATCCACCAGGTCACCACCAAATCAAGCAAGGGACCTGTGAGGTGGTCGCAGTGCACAGGTGCTGTAACAAGAACCGCATAGAGGAGCGATCACAAACGGTCAAGTGTTCTTGCTTCCCAGGACAGGTTGCTGGCACAACTCGGGCTCAGCCTTCTTGTGTGGAAGGTAAGACCTTTCTGGTTAGTTTCCCTAATGTTGCAAAAGGACCTAACACTAAAGAACCCCCCTACTTTGCTGTCTTTGCAACTCAAAGAAAACTAGGGCTGCACCTATGTCAACTATGTCAGTATCATTTAAAAAATGAACATAGGGGCTTCCCTGGTGGCGCAGTGGTTGAGAGTCCGCCCGCCGATGCAGGGGACATGGGTTCATGCCCCAGTCTGGGAAGATCCCACATGCCGCGGAGCGGCTAGACCCATGAGCCATGGCTGCTGAGCCTGCGCGTCCAGAGCTTGTGCTCCGCAACGGGAGAGGCCACAACAGTGAGAGGCCCGCGTACCGCAAAAAAAAAAAAAGAACATAAATATAACCCCACAAATTTCTTAATGAGTAGGGTATGAATGATGTCTCCCAAGAGGTACCAATGAGGAGTTCAGTTACTGGACAATCAGGAAGATATGCTTTGATTTCGGCTTGCCCAACTGTCTCGCCAAATATCACCCACTGGAGCAGTTCCTTCCCTAGACATGCTTTTCCACCTCCTCTAAAACTCTATTCAGGAAGTCAGCAACCTGGTTTTCTCACCTCGTGTTTGATGTTATAGACTAATATTCTCTTTATTTCTAGTTTACTGTTTATACAACATCTTTGGAGCAAGTTCCGTGGGAATAGTTTGGGATATCATTCATTTGTTGTTTCCCTATCCCCTAGCAGAATACGGTGCCAGTGGTTAAAAAAAAAGGAATGAATCAATGTTGACGGTTGTAGGTGGAGGCCTGGGACTGATTCCTTTTGATGCCCCCTGGCTCCTTCCAGCAGACACCTTGTTAGAAACAAGTATCAGTCCCCAGGGGGACAGATGCATGAGGTTAAGTCTTGTAGCAGTTTCTCTACAGTGGTGTGAAACCTCCCTGAAAACGACCACTTCCTGTCTTATCTGATGCATTTCTAAAGGTCAGCAGTTAAAACACACACACATTCTTATCTCTAGAATCATACAGTCGACAGTAATTATCCACATCCCACCTACCCTACCAAACAGACACACATTTGTAGACTGTTTGGTGTACATGTGTTGTATACATACCAGTGCTACGTATCAGCATGATCTCCGCCACCTTTCAAAATGGAAAGTGAACGTGGAAAATTTCCCATCTAGAATTCCTCACCAGAAACCCTGGGGGCCAGATGTGTTGCTGAATTCAGATTCTGTCAGATTTAGTTAAGGCAACATAGTGCATATGCCCTCTCTTACCTAACAGACCTAACGCCTTCTGCAGTTGCACCCCATAATTACAGATATTAATATTTATACAGTAAAATATATGAATATTCATACAGGATGGGATAAGACAAGATGAAGAACCTCATGTTAATTCAAGTCAGGTATTGCTGCCATTCTAAAGAAATTCTTGCCATTTTCAGAGCTTTTTGGATTTGGGGCTTAAAGATAAAGGATTGTAGGCCTATAAAAAAAAGGTAAGGATCTTTAACATTAAAAAAAAAATTGCTAAGTTTGTCTCCCCAGCTGGGACAGTTTAGTCTACATATTTGCTCCATTACTGAATCCAGATCATACTCATTTTGTCTCCTTGCTTCTCTCTCAAATCAGTCCACTCTTGTCTACCCCACTGTCACCTCCACCGTCTAAGGGCCTAATTACATTTTGCTGAGCTTACTACTCTTCGTCTTCCAGTTTTCACACTGTAGCCAGAATGATCCTTCTACAGAAACAGAACTCATTACGTCACTCCCATATTTAAAACCACACTTCAGTGACTTTCCACTGTCTTTAAAATGAAATCCAAATTCCTTACCATGGCTTGGCTGATGAAGCCCTGCATAATCTCGTTCTGTCTTACTTCTTTCTTTGAACTACTGTACCCCAGGCAAACTGGAGTCTTTTCTGTTCCCTTTCATGTCTGCACTTCACCTGTCTATATCCATTGCCTGAATCGTTCCCTTCATCCCCCCAACACACATTTGTCCACTTAATGCCTAGTCTCCTTTCAAATCTTCTATGTGTTCTTGTATCTCCCCATACTTCCAGTTCATGATGTGCATCTTGTTTTGCTGTAAAAACTTGTCGGATGTATGCTTCCCATTAGTCTGCAAGTTGCTTGAGGATGGGAACTGGCTCTCTTATTTACATCTCCCCACAGTAGCTGGTGCATGATGAGGTTTAGCATAGGAGAGAATTATTTCATCTTCACTAATCACAGATTCATTTTGAAAGGTAACAACAATGGTTGCTTGCCTCTGTAGATTTTATTTAATTTTTAACTAACAGTTGTAAAGATGTTTAATGTTTTTATTGACGTATAGTTGACATACAATATTATGGGAGTTTTAGGTGTACAACATAGTGGTTTGACATTGATAAACATTACATACTGATCACCAGGATAAGTCAACCATCTGTTGCCATACAAAATTATTACAAAATTATTGACTATATTCCCTGTGCTGTATATTACATCCCCATGGCTTATTTTATAACTGGAAGTTTGTACCTCTTAATTCTCTTCACCTATTTTGTCCAACCTCCCACACTTCTCCCCTCTGGAGGCCACCAGTTTTTTTTCTGCATCTGTGAGTCTGTTTCTGTTTGGTTTCATTTGTTGTTCTTTTTTTCTCTTTTTTAAAATTTTTTTAGATTCCACATATAAGTGAAATAATATCTTATTTGTCTTTCTTTGTCTGACTTATTTCACTTAGAAATAAGATACATTCACATTGTTGCAAATGACAGAATTTTCTTCTTTTTATGGCTGAGTAATATTCCATTGTGTATATATATATATATATATATATATATATATATA